TTAAAAAAAAAAAACCATAATACAAAACGAAGCATCAAATATCTAAAATTTAAAAAAATATAAAGAAAATCCCACGTTAATACTATTTTTAAATTACCATCTTACGTCTTTACAATCAAGTTAACTTCACAATAAATTATATCAACAAAGTTAACGACTAAAAAATCAGTGAACACTACTGGTGCACCGACTGGCTGCTTCCGCTGGACATTGCATAGACGTGCATTCGGTTTGTCTCGTCCGTACGAACATGGTCCTTCGTGTTAAAAAGATGGTCGATAAAAATCTTAACACTTATCGTTATTGTTATATAATTTTGCCAATTTTGGCAATTTTGGGGTTGATTATTGTTATAGTCATTGTCAACGTAAATGTTCCGACCAAAATTTTTTTGAATTTTGGTACTATTAATATACATATAGAACAGTGAATAATAAGATCATAGTTTACTATATGCCATGTATCAACAGTTGTCAATGGACACGTTTGATAATTTTAACACCTTATAATTTTGGCCCTAAGTTCGGAAATGTTCTGTATCTTTTTTGTAATTGTTTATTTTCTTATTTTTGTAATTGTACGTAGCTAGTATTTTTTTTTCCTATGTAGTACCACGGGAACTGGAAAGTGATTTATTGATTTATAAATTTTATTAGTTAAATGCTAGAAAGGGTGTTACATACAGTGTCTTGAATATCTTCTTTTTTTCATTACAATAATAAACTTGACTTGCTAAACTATTTTCCACTAAATAAAAATTGATCGGCAAAAACTGAAAAAATATAAAAAAATTAATGAAACCTGTCATAGTACCAAAATTCAAAAAAAACGTTATTCGGAACATTAACGTTAACAATAATCGAAACTAAAATTGCCAAAATTGCCAGAATTTCCAAAATTATATAACAATAGGTGATAAAATATATATCCATCTTGGTTATCGTTATAATTTATTGTCCGAAGCGAAGCGAGGACCATGTACGGACGAGACAAACCGAATGCAATGTCCAGCGGAAGCAACCAGTCGGTTCCCCAGTAGTAGTGTTCACTGATTTTTTAGTCGTTAACTTTGTTGATATAATTTATTGTGAAGTTAGCTTGATTGTAAAGAAGACGTAAGATGGCAATTTAAAAAATAGTATCAACGTGGGATTTTCTTTATATTTTTAAAAATTTTAGATATTTAAACTAGCTTTCGAGCCCAACGTTTTGGTTTAATAATAACCCTCAATTTGGTTTTTCAACAATATCCAAATTCGGGTTGTAAGACGGAAATTTGTTTTTATCCTGATTATTGCTATCGTCAGTCCGTTCACGAGAAATTTTGTTAGTTGCAACATAATCATGCGATGGAAATACATTTGTTGTTAATACATAGCTTATCACGTACTACATTTTTACGTAGTATTATTACTAAATCGAGTGTAGAACAAGAGTACGTACGTACGTACGTAGTGTAAATGTATAAAAGTAATTTGTGTTTTTTTTTTTTTTTTGGAGACCTTTTGTGGACTTACCTTAGGATTTTTGGATTTTTTTTTTTTAATTTTTACGGTGAGGCCAAACCTCTAACCGTTTTTATTATGTTTTTGCAAAGACAAATATATTTTAAACGATTGTATTTTTGTCAACTGTGTCACATCGCTATCGTTACACTTATAACCATACATAAAATGATTAAATTTTTTTTAACCTCTGTTCAAAGTCAAGCAAACCAAATAATTAGGAATTGCTAATATCTTTTGATCTACTGATCCGTTCCGAATGATTTAGCTACCAAAATGTTCGTCTCAATGAGACGATTCTAACGAGCCCGAAATCGTTTAAACCTAATCACGGGATCCCAAGATCGTTCGAGTTTTATACCATTTTATAAGAGTTTTTAGAATTACTATGTAATATGTTTGCCAGTGAATAACTTTTGATCCACTGGTCCGTTTTGGATGGTTTAAATGTCAAAATGTTCGTCTTAATGAGACGATTTCAACGAGCCAAAAATCGGTAAAATCCAATCACGGGATCCCGAGATCGGTAAAGACGTAGGCAATCAACTGAAAAATGGATTTTACTATATAAAACCCATTTCTCAGTTGATTGTCTACGTTGTATTGATCTTCACTGGCAAACATATTACATAGTAATTCTAAAAACTCTTATTAAAATCGTATAAAACTTGAACTCCGTGATTAGATTTAAACGATTTTGGGCTCGTTAGAATCGTCTCATTGAGACGAACATTTTGGTAGCAATCACTCGGAACGGATCAGTAGATCAAAAGTTATCAGCAATCCCTCAAATCAGCACATCCTTTACACTATATTTGTTAATAGATCAATGGACACCGGACAAATTTATATGTCCGGTAAAAGTCATCGGACGTAGAGGTTGCCCAACCAAATTTGAGCAGTTTTCTCAACGTTATTCTCGTGCAATTAGCTAGGCAACGTGATCTAGTAATCAGATTTGAATAATTTTGATACAATTCGAATCATCTCATCGAGATCTGATTACTAGATCACGAGAATAACGTTGAGAAAACTTTGATTGCCAGTAACGGTTTTATTGCTCAAATTTGAAAGTCTTCATTGACTTTTTCCATGAGGCGTCGAGCTCGGGTTAGGGTTGTTAATGGAGTACTCCAAGCTATAATAAAACATATAAACCACTCCAGTTTTAAACTGGAGTGGCTTATATGTTTTATTATAGCTTGGAGTACTCCATTAACAACCCTAGCTCGGGTGGAGCATAGCGGGCTTGAATTATGGTTGACTAACTTTTGCGGATTTGTTCAAGATATATCAGTATATATCTACATTATTATCACTATAAGTCAAGAACTTTGCTTTATAATCTTTCACGATAGTAACTTGCTCACGTGAAATTCAACCCTTCAAAAAAATGGTATTTTATCTTTAGTTATCTTATTTTAAACGCCAAAAATTTAATATAAGGACTTCATATTAAGCATAACTATGGTCCAAATTGTCTCTAATTAAAGTTGGCGATCTCATTCGATCTCCAACGCTTATCATTATCGTTATATGAAAAATACGTTTCCAAGATTAATCTATTAATCTAATTACTATTTACGGATTTTATAAAAATTTTCTTGCTATTTACGGATTTTATAAAAAATTCGTGTAACATTGTTTTTTAAAAATCTTTTTTTTTAATGTCTTCTATATGAAGCTTGCTAAGAATAAAATTTTTAGACTTTTTATAAACTTTTAAATACAAATTAATACAGTGCTCTCGTTTGTGCTATTAGCCTCGATTCAAATATATTCACAAATTGTGCACTAGAATATGTATTGTAGATTTGTCAATGAAAAGACAGCGAAAAATTTAGTATAATTATATAAAGAGGGAAAGCTAAAGTAAAGTGACTTAGAAATTAAAAATCAGTTTAGCATTATGATTAGTTAAAATAGATATTATAAGTAAAATTGACCTCCTGGCATTTTATTAGCATTAGTGTTGGTTTAAAATCAGAATAACCGTTCTCGTATTTTTATTTTCTTGCCTTTATGAAATTTAATCAATTAATATAGATTTCTCTTTTGCAAATAACAATAAATCCACTTTGATAATAAATAACAGTAACATTATTATCGGTATCATTATTATTAAACTGTATCGGTATGCTATCGTAGGTTATTGAATATCCTTTCGAATATTATCATTACCATTAAAATATATTGCAGTAATAGATTCTTTAGTTCTAAGTACGTATTGTAAAGCAACTTAATTATTAACCTAATACAGTCAGACCTCTCTAAGTGCACCCTCTATAAGTGCACACACACTCTAAATGTACGCTCAGATTCTGACCCAAATATATTCTTCCATAAATGCACTTTGTCTTATTACTGTATCCTTTAAATGCACGTTGTTAAAGTGTGGTCCCAAGGGCGTACACTTAGAGAGGTCTGACTGTATTTGGCTTGAAACAGTTTTTATAACCAAAACAACTAAAAAAATTGTTGCTTGTAAGAATCCTTTTTCGAAATGGCTGAAAATGGCAAATAATTTTTTTTTAGCGTACACTCGTACACTCGTACACTCGTACACTCGTACACTCGTACACTCGTACACTCGTACACTCATACACTCGTATACTCTAACTGCTAAGGTAATTGAGTGTACGAGTGTACGCTAAAAAAAAAAAATATTTCCATTTGCAACTCGTGTAACTATATAACCTAAAATACAATAATTCTATTTTACTCTGCACGCGACTAGAATCGCAGCAAATCCCTTCTTTAAACTTTTGAAATGGAAACCAGGCAACCAATTGCATTACTTCACAATAATGAGTTCTTATTTGTTGAGGAAAATACCAACCATTTAGAAGAAGATTCGAGAAACTTTTCTTCTTTCCAGGTTTTTAATTTGAAGGTTTGTGCATTTTTAAAAAGTTACCGCGTAGAATTTGTTTTAATTGAAAGTGTGCCTAATTTTTTTTATTTTTTTTTTTGCAATGATTCCCTTGATATTTTTATAGGAACCTGTCGACAATATTATCTTGTCAACGTTAATTGTTCCACAAGCGATTAAGCAATATTACTCATTTGAAGTCTCAGAATATAATGGTTCCTCAGTTAAGGTATGTTATTATTAATTAATTATTCATTTCTCAAGTCATTAACTAACATAGTATTTATTTTTTAAAATATAGGTGAAAATTCACTTTTCAAACAAAACACATTCAGATGTGATCAACTTGTTGCGCGAGGCCACTACAAATTTGTATTATATATCGGAAAATGGTTTAATGGACTGGGTGCCAACTGATTCGATTACGTTCAATATTATTTATCCAAACGCTTATTCCACACCGAATCAGAGCGAAGATGATGATATATCGACGGTAGAAGATACGGGTATACTAGATCTTGGTGATGTTGAATGGCTTACTCGGAAATTACATGAAATGGCATTGCTATTTCAATCAAAAAATGATATACGTATGTTATTTAACATATCTATTTTTATTTATACTGTAGAACTGTATTAGTTTTTTTAACTCTTTTTTTTTTTTTTTTTTTTTTTTTTTTTTTTTTTTAACAAAGCTTCTGATGTATTGGAAGGTCTTTTTCATTCTATCTTTCCAAGACGCGTTACATCATTGAATGTTATTGAAGGAGTTGGTATTTTGATATCCGCCATGGACCAAAGACTCAGATATAATATCATAAGAACCGTTTTTCGAAAACTAGCAGAATTAATTAAAAATAACAATTTAAGGAGTGTGATACTGGAAAGCCAATTTGTAAGTCAGGCAGTATTTTTCTCTGAGTTCTACAGTAGATTACGTTAATTAACCTTAATTGTGCATAACATAGTCTCCTGATTTAGGTTTACATTTGATTCTCAATTTGTGGACTCTAATAGAAGGTTTTAGGGATATTTGGAAATCATTTAATATTCTAAAGAATTCGGATGAACAATTTAGAAAAATAATTTCGGCAGAGAAATCTTATTTTGTAACTTACGTTGATCACATTGGTTTAATTATTGAAAACATATTGACCATTCTCACCAGGG